CCATATTTTTGTTTAAGAACTTGTAACAGGAGGTATAAAATCTACGAGCCAAAGACAAGATTTTCGACTCACTTAGTATTATATTTGTCGGAGTGGACTTTCTGTAACCCATAGCCAGCCTCAAGCATTTATATTGTACTTTTTCAATTTTCTCGAGTAACTCAGGTTTACACGGTGATATCAGAAATCCGCCGTATTCGATTCTAGACCTAATAAGTGAATTATATAGGGTCAGCATAGTAACCGGATCTGCTCCCCACCAAGTTCCTCTGATGCAACTGAGGATTCTTATCGGAATATCGCATTTTTTTATAATGTGGGAGATATGGAGATTCCAATTTAGTCGTTTATCTAAAATTATACCGAGAAATTTTGCGTAAGGTGAAGGTTCAATGATAGTGTTATTAATATTAATATGAAAGTTATTGGTGTTTAAGTTTAATCTATTGAATATGACTAATTTGCATTTTTCTGGTGCCAAGTACAAATTTTTTGCAGCTAGATAATTCGAAATGATACCGACTTGCTGCTCAAGGTGGCTAAGGCTATTACTTATTTGTGGGTCAGATGTGTATAAGGCCAAGTCATCCGCGAATTTTAAAATTTTAACTCCCGGGAGTATTAAGTTATCTATATTATTTATATATATATTAAACAGGACCGGGCTCAAAATACTTCCCTGTGGAAGACCTTTGAATGAAGGGACGGGTTATATTACCTGGACAATTAATAAAATGTATAAATCTAACTGAGATTAAGTTATATATGAACTTAATAACATTTCTCGGAATTTTCAATTCGATTAGATCTTTAATTAAAATTGCGGGTCCACATTATCGTAGGCCCCTTGATATCTAAAAATACAGCTGCTAAATGGTTTTTTTTATAGAATTGTTTTCCTGTTTCTGAGATGATCATTGCTAAACTATCTATACACGATTTATTTTTCCTGAACCCAAATTGAGATTTATTAATTAGATTATTATGTTCGAGCCACCACATTAATCTCTCATTTATCATTTTCTCTAACATTTTAATAAACAAGAAGACATGCTGATTGGTCTGACTTTTTACTATTTGGTTTAGGGATAAAGTAACATAAATAATTTCTCCATTCTTCTGGAAAGATACCGGTATAAAGTACGTCATTATAGATATCCAAGAGTGCTCTCTTTACCGCTTCTGGTAATTTATTAATTATGTTATAATTAATTTTGTCATATCCCGGAGCTGATTTACGGTTAACATTTTCTAGAGATATTGTAAGTTCCTCGTAATCAAAGGCATATCGAGGAAATGGTTATCTTGATATAAATTTTCCATTATAGGCAGAGTACACTGTGAGCCTAGTGCACATATTTCTTCAATGCTTTCTTTCATGGATGTAATTATTTCTGTATTACCTTCATATGATTTTGGTTTAGTGAATTTGTTATTAAATCTTTTAATCTTATTAAAAACGTACCCACTCTTACTATGTCTATTTAAAGATTCACAAAATTTTTGAAAAGCTTCTTTTTTTTCCTTTCTTAGGGTAACTTTAGTTTGAGCTTCTATTTTTTTATATTCAAAAAATTCCTCTCTTGAAAATTTATATTGTAAAGATAGCCACTTCGCCTTTTTTATTCTAATCGCCCTATCACAGTTTTCATTCCACCATACCGTTGGTGGATTCTTATTTTTTGGCTTAGTTCGATTAGTATTAGTTATTTTATTTACTTTCTTTCTAGGCAAGGAACATTCAACCGCTTTTGTTATTTGACTAAGCATGAATGAGTATCTTTCATTTACTGTCGAGTTTATATATTGAATTGAGTTAAGATTATTATTAAACTCCCAGAACTCATAGAATTTAGACCAATTAATTTTATTTTCGTTAAACTTGTATTGAGGTTTCGGTAAGTAATCACTTTCTATATCTAGATTAATTGAGATGGGGTAGTGATCACTTCTCCAATTATCATTGCTTACAGACCACTCACTGCTCAAAGTTAGGGAAGGAGAAACAATTGTTAAGTCAATGTTTGATTTTTTAAAGTTAGGTCCTGATATGTGCGTATGATTACCATTATTTAGAATTATAAAATCCTCTGGGTCTGTGAAATTGTATACAATATTACCATTGTAGCAGTTGTGATCATTCCCCCATGACTTGTGGTGGGCATTCAAATCCCCTCCTATACAAAATGTATCATTATATTTTTTTACTGCCTCTAAAAATTTCTTCCATTCATGTTAGATAAATTGTTACCTTCTTTTGGAGATCTATAGCAGTTTACTACTAATAAATTACCCGTTGTAGTAGTTATCAATATACATCCTATTTCCAGAGTTTTGGGATTAAAATCTAATTCAACAGTTTTGAAAATCATATTTTTTTTAATTAAAAAAGCTAGACCGCCTCCGTTATTGTGTAGTCTATCAAATCTAACCGTTTCAAAACCATTTATATGAAAATCAGGTTGCTCTGGTTTCAGAAAAGTTTCGTTAAACATAAGGATATCCCATTCATGCGAAAATCTATCTAATTCATAAATTTTACCTCTTAATCCTCTACAATTCCATTGTAGTATTTTTAAGTTAACGCGATTATTCATACTCACTTATATATTAATACTTATTTCGAATTGTTATTCAGTTCTGTTACTTTTGCTGATTTTTGGTAGGTTCTTATCGTCTTTAGGAAATTATTTGGAGGTGTAACCTTAACTTGCACTTCTTTCTTCATCATCGTGTATTCTGGTTTATTTGATAAGTCCTTGAGGATGACTCGCTGGCCACGGACATTTTGTATGAGTTGTAAATGGTCTTCCGTTTTTGCTGACTTATTTGTCTTGTTTGATTGATCTTTGTTCGTTTGGATAGTCTTCTTACCGCTGCTACCTTGACCCATCGCTACTCCATTTGCTGAGTTGATGGATTCTCGGCTTCCAATAAAATTTTCACAATTTTCCATTTGGGCTTTATAAAAGTTGTTTGGTTTTTCCTGGGGTTTCCTGGGTACTGTAGGTAAAGACCTTCTATCTTTAACTACTTCACTGTATGTTGTATATGCTGTGCTTAGGAGATTTGGAAATTCCTCAGGTCCAGGTTTAAGCCTTTTCTTTGGGGGGGGATGAAAAACTAGTTTCCTAGCATCTCCCATGGCTAAATTTTCGTACGCCATCAGTCTTTTGACTTCATATTCCATCCGGTATATTGGACAATTTCTGTCAGTGGCGATATGTTCCCCCTTGCAGTTAGAGCATTTAGGGCAACTTGTTCCGCAACTCTCTTGGTGTTTATTTTCACCACACATGCTGCATTTTGTCTCATTTCTGCAATTCAAACTTGTATGACCTAGCTTGAAGCAGTTGTAGCAGACAATGGGTAATGTCATATAAGGATCTACCTCAATCTTAATTTTATATAGCCGTACTTCACTGGGCAAGTTTTGGCCTGAGAATGTAATTATTACTGATTTACTTGGTACCCATTTCGGGTCGTTTTCCTGTCTGTTAGGATCTCGGTTTCTCCTATTTAGTCTTCTTATTCCCAGTATACGCTGATGTGACTCCATTTCCTCCAGCATCTCCTCTTCTGAAATATCCTCGTCTACGCCTTTAATGATGCCTCTTCTTATTAATCTAAAGCTCGGGATGAAAGCTTTCAATTTATTTGCTTCTAATAATGGGTCGTCTAATAATTGATTTGCCTCGTGTATGTTTTTGAAGTTAATTTCTACCCGAGATCTAGTTTTGTTACAGACATAATCTATGCTATTGAATTTTTTGCAAAACAGTTTACCTACTTTATATTGGCTTACTTGTGGATAGTATGTTTTCTCATTGCTCTCAATTGCCTTAGATTGAATCCATACTGTGAATGGGCCTTTATTGTCTTCTTGAAAATTTTTGATAATTTGGGACGTGGTTTTTTTTACTTTTATTGGTTCCGCTGAATTAGTTACCTTATGATGTACTTCTGAAACTTCCTTTCCCGATTTCTTATAGTTTTTAATCTCTTCATTATCCGAACTTTTCCTTTTATTCTTTACCATCTTCGACCAATCCATGTTTTCCTCTTGTGACACAGTTTCAAATCGGTTCATTGTTGTAAATGCCTCTGCGCCTCCCCCGCTGTTACGGGGAAGGCTGCGTCCACGTGGGTGTCTTTATTCACTTTTAGGTTAGGCTCTTATTTGCGTTGGTAATCCTCCGCCCGGCTGGATTAGCCGAGAATTAATATTAATAACTATATTCGGCTTTCGGTTTTTAAAGTTTTTCAACTTAAGATGCACTTCTCTCCAGAGTTATTTACTCGATCCGCGAAAATTTTCTCTCCACGTACTTTTTCGTAATTCCAATCCGTAATCGAGCCTCGTCTAACTGCACAAGGTCTAACTTGCTTGCAGCTCCCTCTATCGCAACATCGCGTAACTAATTTTCTGCTCTGTATTATTCCTAAATGTCATTTCGCACATACACATGTGAATGAAATATTCCACAATCGAGATCCTTTTTATTAGACTTCTAAACTTATTTCTGCAAGGTCACTAATATTCCTTTATGAAATCTTTTGGAGGAAGCGGTCTTATTTTGTACGTATAAATTGTGAAACTTTTATATAAGCAAATATTGTTATGACGTGACGCGAGAAGCCAAAAAAAACTCGTATTTAAAAATTTTTTGTCTTTTTATCACAAATTCAAACCGCTCTCTCCTTTATTATTGTATTAACTTTAATCGTGGAAAAGCATTTGTTATTCTATTAACGCAATAAAAACTTCTCGATAGTGGCAAAATATAATCGGTTCGGTCGGTAAAAGTAGACCTCCGGTATCCCCTTAAAAGTTAAAAAGGAACTTTTCTTGAGTGTGCCACGCTTGAGAGAGATGGTATCTAATCAACATGATATTAAATTATCAACATCAACTATAAAAAGAAGATTATGTTATACAAAACTCAATGGTCGTGTTGCGGAAGTGATCGACGCTTCGAACATAGAATGAATTAAGCGCTGAAATTATCTATAGCCCGCGGACATACGTCTATGACAATACTTTTCTTTATGTTTACGGCTTCCTTCCCTGTCTTTCGCTTTCGCGTATGAACAGACGTGCGTTTCCTTCCTTTGCCAAGTCAGAGTTTTGTGTACAAACGAGGGCAGTTACTTTTTTTCAGATAATACATCTAAGAATTTCCTTGCCATTGCCATACGATTAGGGCAGCTACGTATTCAGGACAGCTACAAATTCAGAGCAGCTACGTATTCAGGACAGCTACGAATTCAGGGCAGCTACGAATTTAAAAGAGCAGCTACGAAAATTGAACAGCTTCGATACCCAGAGAGTAATCATACGTGGTCCGCAGTTCATTGCCATATCTGCCATTTTTGTCAGTACTCAATGAGAGACGATATACATTTAGTGCCACCGCTAATTAATTATTTTCAACAGAACGAAGGTAAGACGAGAGAACTTCGTCTTCTTCAAATCAAATTCTTATACTGGTCTTTTTATATGAATTTTATATCATTGATTGATTTAAATCTTTCTTATACTGGCCTATTCATGTAAATTCTGTATTGCAGAGTTAATCTTTCTAGTGGTTTAAACATTTTCAAGTCATCTTATTATTAATTTTCCTAAAATTCCCATGATATTTTTTATATTAGTAAATTCCAATATTTCTCTGTGCATTCATATTATTCTTTATATAATTAGTTTATATATTATATATATTGTCTTTCTTTCATTTTCATGATTTTCAATGTTTATAAATCTTATATCATTCTTCTTATTATTATTTAAAGCATATACATTTATGATGATGTATTATGACATATTATATGATTATTCATAATGTTATAATATTATTTGATTATTCTTAATGTTAAATGTTTGATATATCTCAATATTATTATCTGAATTATTCCCAAATGATTTAAAGTTTTCTGATTATATTCTAAACATCTTCAAAGATATTACGTTATGTACAATTTTCAATATAGAATTTTCCTAGTTTAATTTTGTATAGATAATAATTAAAGCCTTTAATACTTAGTAATGTATAAACATATTTAAATATTTGCCATATAAACATTATTATTCAGAAATCATTATATCTTTAATATATGGTTTTCATTAATCTTAATTGTGTTGTTAAATATTATAAAGGTTTAATATGATAGAATAAATCAATGTCCAATCTTTTGTAAATCATAATCTTTTTTCTTTATCGTCAATAATAAATTAATTTCAGATAATTTTCTCAATTGGTTAATCTTCCCATACAGGTCGCATTACTAAGAAAAAACCACATGTATCTAAACAAAATATTGCAAAATAATTAACTTTTTCTGAAAGCCACAGAGAAAAAAACGATGATAGCGTAATATGCTGTGGTTCGACGAATCAAAGTTTCTTCGGATGCAAAAGTGTATATGCGGCCACCGAATCAAGAAAACAATCCCAAGTACACTTTGAAAACTGTGAAGCACGGTGGCGGCAGTTATTGTCTGGGCAGTTATATTTCTCCTGGTATGGCGTTGGCCCATTATTTCGAATCAATGGTATTATGAATGTAGAAATGTACAAATGCATTCCTAAAGATGTTATGTTACCGTATGCCAGACGTGAGATGCCCTTGTTATGGAAAATGCACAACAATCCAAAACATACCGCTAAAGTTATAAAAAGATTTATTGAGAAAGAAAAAATTCTCATTTTGGAATGGCCACCACAGAGTCCGGACTTATCCAATAAAAAATTTATGGAATACAATGACATACATTGACAAAAGAATCAATCGAAAACTACAAATCTTGGTAAACTCTGAGAAGAAATTCAAAAAGCTTGGTACTCAATTTCTGAAGAAGAGTGTAGATCCTTAGTAGGCTCTATGGACAGATACCGAACTGTTTTGAAAAACAAAGAGTTCTCTACAAAGTATTAGAGCATTCAAATGGAAAAATATGTTAATTCAGTTATACAAGTTAAACTTAATAAATAGGTAAACTTATTAAATGTGGCTCTATTATTTTGACCCAATTACTAACCTTCAAATTATGTTCAACCGTTTCACACTAAACAACACTATTCCACGACAACAAACTAACATCAATGTTTTCGCTTTACACTCGTCTGATGGTAACAAATTGCTGCGCCTCGTGTGTAATTAAAATTAACTAATAACAATATGATTTATTTTGTCTCCGCTAAAAGTGGCTCTATTTTTTAAGCGCCACTATGTCCACACATGTAAAAAAATTTAGCTTATGTTGTGGCGTGTGTCAACGAGTAAAATATTTAACAGTCCCGATAGAAGAAGAACATAACTTTGTGGCGATTACATCGTCACATGCTTCCCTGAAATAAACAAGCGATAAACACGTATACGCATTCGGTCACTGAGACATAAATAAATAGAAATAAATATAACAGACGAGACGAAAGACGAGTAGTACAGAAACAAAGCAAGTAAAACATATAGAAAATTTGCGAAGCCTCTCGAAACCTAGCGAAGGGCGTTTTGAGGCAAGAGATAGGTAAAACATTGTGACATGAGGAGATTCCGTTCTTGACAGTCGCCGCGTACGGACGCACATTATAAATCCGAACGATCGTATATGCATGTATCGACATTTAAAGTTGTGTTCAAGAATATACTTTGAATTATACGCGATTACTGTCTCATCATTCTTTAATTCCCGACTCGTATCGTACCTCCTAAGTAATCGCGCCGCGAAACACGAAAGTAACGCGATATATCACCAAAGTGGTGACGTCCCGACGTGATCGCGAACGAGCGAGAATTCGCGATTTTTTTTGTGATCACATTGCACATTATCAAGTGCAATGGTGTGCAATGGTGGTGACACGAGACGAAGAAACGAGCGCTCCGCTGACGGAGCTGGAAGCACGAGTGCTGGAGCAGCCGCGACTCCACGGGATGCCGATGAATCTGCTCGGAATGCAACCGGCGAGATTCGAACAGCCGCCAGGGTATTTTTTACCCGCCCCTGAGGTGAGCGGCGTGGGCATGCAGATGCCAGAGTTCACGCCGTCAGACCCTGAACTCTGGTTCAATATCGTCGACCGGAGTTTCCAAGCCGCCGGAATCACGGTCGACGCGACGAAATTCGGTTACGCGCTGACGGCCATCGGACCGCGCTATACGGTCGAGGTGCGCGACGTTATTATGAATCCGCCCGCGGAACGCGCATACGAGACTTTAAAATCAGAACTGATCAAACGGCTCAGCTTGTCGCAGGAGCATAAAACCCGAAGACTCCTCGAACATAAAGAAATCGGGGATCGTAAGCCGTCGCAGTTCTTGCGGCACCTGCGCGGCCTCGCCGGAAGTGTCGTGGGCGACCAGGTCTTACGAACGATCTGGCTGAGTCGGCTGCCGGCGTACATTCAGCCGCATTTAGTGACGCGAACGGAGGACACGCCAGAACAGTTGGCGGATATCGCGGACGCGATAATCGAGGCGACCCGGGCGCCGGTGTTTCAAGGAGCGGAGGCGGCAAGAGCCGTGGCGCCTCAGGGACAAAGCGCGAGTGATCCCCCGTCTCTAGAAGCAAAATTCGAGATGCGGCTGACGATGCAGCAGGAGATCGCGGAGTAGATGGCGGCAATTCGGAAATCAATTGAGGCGATCGGCAGTGAGCGCTACCGAGGAGGTCGCGATGACGACCGACGTCGTCCGCGTTCGCGTTCGCGTTCGCGCCCGCGCGCGCGATCAGGAGGTCGCGATTTGCCGGCCAGTGGTATGTGCTGGTATCACTGGCAATTCGGGGCGGATGCCAGACAATGCAGAGCACCCTGCTCGATGCAGCAGGGAAACGCAGGGGCCGGTCGCTAGTGGCCGCGAGCGACTCAGGCCACGGTACGCGACGTCTATTTGTGACCGACGCAAGCTCTAAAGTGACTTTTTTAATCGACACGGGTGCGGATCTCTGCGTGTATCCTTGAAAGATGGTTCGAGGCCCACGACAGAGATCCACCTACAAACTTTCGGTACACCAATTTTTACGTATGGAACGGAGACTTTACAATTAAATTTCGGATTACGACGGGCGTTTTCGTGGCGGTTCGTGGTCGCG